TAATCCAATCTGTCACTGATGGACATTTGGGTTGATTCCAAGTCTTTGCTATTGTGAATAGTGCCGCAATAAACATACGTGTGCATGTGTCTTTATAGCAGCATAATTTATAATCCTTTGGGTATATACCCAGTAATGGGATGGCTGGGTCATCTGGTACATCTAGTTCTAGATCCTTGAGAACAGAAAACCAAACACCGCATGTTCTCACTCATAGGTGGGAACTGAACAATGAGATCACTTGGACTCAGGAAGGGGAACATCACACACCGGGGCCTATCATGGGGAGGGGGGAGGGGGGAGGGATTGCATTGGGAGTTATACCTGATGTAAATGACGAGTTGATGGGTGCAGCACACCAACATGGCACAAGTATACATATGTAACAAACCTGCACGTTATGCACATGTACCCTACAACTTAAAGTATAATAATAATAAATAAATTAAAAAAAAAAAAGTTGTAGATAAGATGGAATTGGCTAGCAGAGGAAATATGGTTCAAATCCAGTGTGTCTTTCTACTAAATCATGTAGTAGGAAATGCAGACCAGGCTCCTATTTGGAACAGGTAACACCTTTCACTCTTCAGGTCATGATCTTAACTAAACATGGTTTCTTCATGCTCATCTTACTTTCTGCTCTGGGAAACGATGAGGAGAGTTGGAGAGATGATGAATACATGGTGTGTGGCTAGAAACCACAACACTTAGGGAAAAAGTTCCCCTAGTTACTTACTCATGATGTTGCTTCCATAGCTCCCCTATTGCCAAAGACCTTTCAGGAAATGCTTGTAATGGATGGGTGGTGTAAAATAATAAAATGGCTAGGCTTTCCTGTACTTTTGGGAAAAAGGCCAAAATGCTTAGCAAGGCCTAAGTCCTTGACGGCTTATCTCTCCAAACTCATCCTGCATCATGCTTCTCCCTCAGTCTCTGAGCTCTGACCACACTGGCCTTCTTTCAGTTCCTCAAATCAGCATGCTGCACTGTCTGGAGATGTCTAAACTCCTACTCACTCCTCATAGCTCAGTGAAGTATCACTTCCTTAGGAATGCCTGTCTTAATCTCTGTCTAGGTCAGGTTCCTGTGTTTTAATTATCTTAGGACAATACTCCTTTGTTTTAAAACACTCTGTCCATCTCCCGTTTTACAGAATAGAAACTTCTTGAAAGCCGGCCACTTGTCTGTTTTTGCTCACCACGGAATCTCCAGTGCCTGTCATGTGATAGGCTGTCAACTGAGATTGGCTGAATAACTGAATAAACATTTTCTTCTTCAAAAATAAGATGTACCCCACCAACTGTCAGCATAGAGGAGTAAAAGGTTAAATTATCTAGTTGGTACAAATTGAATCTATATGTTAGCCATTGATATTAATCAGACCACTGCAGAAAACACATATAGGAATAAAATACATATTATTGATTTGTATTTATATTCTCTTAATATTATCTTCTAATTTTAATTCACAGAATCTGGCACAGGATCTCTAGGCTTCAGAGCCTGGTGGAACCACTGGATGGAATAGGATAGAATCTCTGAATCCCCACATGGAATGTACTGGCTAAACACTCACAGGGGATTTTATCAGACAAAAATAAATGGAAAAATGACTTTTATATCCCCTGTTAATAAATAACCACAAGATTTGATTTGGAAAATTGTAAGAAAGTATGCTAATACACATTAACTGATGACGATGGTGATGATGATGAAGATGATGATGATGACGAAAGCGTGACAGAGACTAGCTAAATTTGAACCAAACTAATTCCTCTTCTTTTGGGGGTATACAAGGACCCCCAGAGGTAGCCCTTCTCAGCCTGTATTAGTTGATATCAAATTCTTTTTTGTGCTGAATCTCAAATCTCCTCGATGGCTTTTTCTAACAAATCATTTTTCTAACACAAGGAAATGGATTTGAAAAAGATCACTTTTTTTTTCCATTTGTCCCTCCTTGCCCTCTAATACGAATCCAGCTAACTATCAATTGGGAGCAAGACAAAGGTAGGAGAGTCACTTAAATTGCAGTTTCAGAATATGTCAGAAAATTTGAGAACAAAATACAAATTCACCTTTTATGCTGGTGATACTTTGGGGACTGGCGAGTTCTCCTTCCTACAAATGAGCCATTCAAAGTCTGACTTTTATGTAATATTTATTATTAAACGATTAGAAGTAAAAATACAATGCCCATGTCTGTGCCTTGCTTTTAGAAATTCTGATTTTATTGTTCTGGGGCAGAGATTTGGGCATCAGAATTGAAAAAGAAAATTCTCCTGGTGATTCTAATATGCAGCTAGAGTTGAGAACCAGTGAGATACATCTCTGTGTAACTATCAACTGTCAATACAAATTATCCATGTAGAAATATTGTGCTGCAGGGAACAAAGTGCAATATGCTTACAAACAGACCTCTCCGAAACAGCTCCTCAAATCGGGCTAAATTCATTGCCTGAAGAAAAGCATCCTTTCTTGCCATGATTTCTGCTCTTTATTAAAGCATCCTAAGTTGGAGATATGAAGAGGCTCAGTGAGGCAGTCCTGGCTGGAGGGAAACTAAGGCAAGGATTCGTGTCCTCCAAAGGAAACTACATACAAAGTCACTTCATTTACCACATAGAAGAAGCCCAGACTCCCTTACAAACATGGGAATATGAGCTCCACAAGGGCAGAGACTCAGGTACCTGGTTCCCACCTACAATACTGACCCTAACACCTAGGGGCACACCTTCTTAAAGATTCTTTCACTGATATTAAACCCAATTAGATGGGAGGCTAGAAAAGCCACCCATTTACCATACAGAGAGAGGACAGCTTCCAAGAAGGCCTGGATACCCTTCTGCTAATTAATAAAGCACATACACTCCCACATGAGTAGGCTTTACTTCAAGGACAGGCTGGTGGCTTATTCTTATGTCAGAACATCATTGAAATGATAGGTTAGATCCCTGATGTGGGTCTCAATTTTGCTATCAGTATAATGAGAAAGTGGCCAGGCATGGTGGCTCATGCTTGTAATTCCAGCACTTTGGGAGGCTGAGGCGGGAGGATCACCTGAGGTCAGGAGTTCAAGACCAGCCTGTCTAACACGGCAAAACCCCATCTCTACTAAAAATACACAACTTAGCTGGGCGTGGTGGCAGGCGCTCATAATCCCAGCTACTAATGAGGCTGAGGCAGGAGAATCGCTTGAGCTCAGGAGGTATAGGTTGCGGGAACAGAGATTGTGTCACTGCACTCTAGGCTGGGAGACAAAGCAGGACTTCATCTCAAAAAAAAAAAAAAAAAAAGGGTAAAGGAGAAAGGGAGGCTTGACTAATCTTTATAATCTCTTCCTTCTAGATTGATATATACAAAGTAACCTCTCTGGGCCTCTAGTACTGTCTGCCAGCCCCTCTGACACTGACAGCCACCACAGCTGGGCTTCCTGTGATGTGGACGGGTGCCCACCAGAGGGACTAAAGGCATACTGACTGACAGTGCACGGCCCTGTCTTCTTCCCTTCTGTGGAAGCTTCAAGATTCTGTCTCTTTTACTCTTCTTCATAAAAATCTTCCTTCATGCTAAAAAGTGAGGAGACTTTAAACTATATCCAGCATCATCTTAACCTCATACTCTCCATACAGCTGATACTTACTTAAAGGCAGTGCCTCCCAGTATTCCACAAGTCTTGTGATCAGGGTGGGTGACTGAACAGAGAGAACTCACTCTGATTTTACTTTCTTTACTTTTGGATTCAATCACATTATGAATGAGTGGGAAAAAAGAAAGAGTAAATTAATCTAATGTATTCTTACTTGTTTTTGTTATTTTTACCTTTGCCTCACAATCAACCAGGTTTGTTTACACCTAGAAAAAAAACTGTGGGCTTGTAGCTGGTTTGCACTGAACTGCACTGCATCAGAGAAGCCGGTCCTGCCAGCTGAACAGCAGTCCTTTGAGAGAAGAGGGAAGGGGGCAATTCTAAAATGCTGCCAGTGAAGATTTTACTGGGACCTAAACAGAAAGGTAGGATTTGGATTGTTGCTTCTCACCGGCAGCAAACCTGGGATGTCCAGCACAATCTGAGGAGGAGGCCGTGAGCTTACATTAGGCAGGCAAAGGCGATGAGTATGGTGCTGCTCCCAAGAGTTGTAAATGTTGACTGTCACAGGCCGAATCCATCTGATTGGAGCTGAAACTAGGAAGGATGAGAAACATTTCTCCAAGCGGGAACCATTCCAGGCGTTCTCTCCTTTCCTTCCCTGTTACACAAAATCTTGAAGGGCGTTAAGTTGTTAACTCGTATCCTGTCCTACAAATCCTGAGAATAGGATACACACGATTAGGCTACACATGGCAGCGCTTGGGCAAGAGAACAGAACCAGGAGGACGGCAGTGGGAAGGAGGATGACCTGGTATAGTAGCAAAAACGGGGCACTCGTTGGGTTCGGAAGACCTCAGGGTCTGTGTTGTCTCAGGCGCTTGCTTGCTAGAGCTCATCCATTCCAACACTAATAGAGCATCTACTATGTGTTAGGCACCAGGTAATGGCAGGGAATTTAACAGTGTCCTCAACACAACAGGGGGACAGAAATTTTCCCTGTCCTCAAGGAATGGGATGCAGACAAACAAAACCAAAATCCATACTAAAAAAATAACAGGTGCTGTGAAGGCAGACATGCAGCATGCTCTGAGCAGGGCATATGAACAGGACAGCGCAGTCTTACGAAGTCAGAGCAGGCTCTATGGAAGAAGTGAAATATCCGCTGAGACCTGAAGGATGGCAATGTACTGGCCAGGCACAAGCCCAAGACGACTGTCCTAGGTACAGAAAGATCACACACAAAGGACTAAGGATAGACTAATCATGGGGCAATGGAGAACAAACTGTAGTTCCATGTGTTTGCATCATAGAGGTAAAACAGAAATGAGGCTGGAGATACAAAAGCATTTCCTCTCAGTCATTTAATTGCTGGAAACTGTTCATTCAGAACATACATCAACAACACACCGCCAGTGACAGCGATCACATAAACGAGAGATGTATAAACGTGAAGAAGTTTAGCTTTTATATACAGAACAACTAGAGACAGAGCACTGGGAAGAGGGGCCCATTGAAGAGTTTTAAATAGGGAAGCAACAGAATGAGGTTTGAATTCACAAAGACCATTCACTTTTCCTTTAGGAAGCCTTTCAGCGGTAAGAGGCAAGCGTGGAAATGTAGGTGGCAGAAGGGCTGGACAGAACGCAGAGTGAGTGTGCACTCATTTCTCCCAGAGCAGGACCTTGATCTGCAGAATGACCATGTTCCTGAGAGGCAATGGCTGGTCTCTAGGGGCTCTTCCACTCTGAGGCCTACATTTCGTGATTGCTGACAGATTGCAAGATACAAGAAAAGTCAAAGGTAAGTCACCTGCTTGTCCATTATGTTTTGGGGCTGCGGGCAAGGCTTCTGCCTAAGCAGGATTAAGGTTTTTTGACTTTTGAAGTCACATAAATCTAAAGTGTCTAAAGTATTTTTCTAAAGTTTTTTTTTTTTTTTTTTTTTAAGACTTTTCTACTTGGGTCAATTAAGTTGGTCAAAGCAGTGGAAAACACCATTGCTACCTGGAATAAGAAAAGCTGAATTCTACGCTGTATGCTAACATTTTTTTTTTTTTTTTGAGATGGAGTCTCACTCTGTCACCCAGGCTGGAGTGCAGTGGCATGATCTTGGCTCACTGTAATCTCCACCTCCTGGTTCAAGCGATTCTCCTGCCTCAGCCTCCCGAGTAGCTGGGATTACAGGTGCCCGCCACCACACCTGACTAATTTTTGTATTTTTAGTAGAGACAAGGGCTTTACCATGTTGGCCAGGCTGGTCTCGAACTCCTGACCTCAGGTGATCTGCCTCCCAAAGTGCTAGGATTACATGCATGAGGCACCGTGCTTAGTCTGTATGTTAACTTTTAAAACATACAACACACACACATTTATTTATTTAAAAATTCAGAAATTCAACAGGTGTAGAAGGGTACAGAATGAAAAGTAAAACTCTTTTCCAGAGATAATCACTAAAAGATTGAGTAATGCTTATATAGGCATGTATCAGATTGCTTATACATACATGCCTGTATAAGCATGTACACACACACACAGACACACACACACACATTCACATATAAACACTCACGGTCGAAGTTTTTCTTCAAACACAAATCAGATCCTTTATGTCCTATTTTGCACCTTGTTTTTTCTTAAAATAGTTTTTTAAGGTGTCTTTTATTAGCATATAAAGATTTGTCTTATTTTTCTGATAGCCTCCATGTTATTGTATGCAGTTGCCATACTTTATTCTTGTAGTCCTTTTATTCTATCATAAAAATGTTGCAATGTGTTTTCTGGAACAGAATGCCTCTGTGCTTTTATGCAAATATACCTACTGTCTGAAATGGAGTTGCAGGGTCAAAAATAGTACACACTTAAAATTTTGAAAGATAGTGCTAAGTTTTGTTTTGAAAAGGTTGTATTAATTTGCACTCCTAGCACGAGCTCATGCGAGTACATGCTTCCCATACTTTTGCCAATACCGAGCATTGAACTTGTAAATGCTGGCTGGTCTGAGAATGAAAAAATAGTATTTTAAACTGTATTTCTTTAAATAAGTTGAACATCATTTCATTGGTTCATTCATTATTTTTATTTCCTCTTCTATGAATTGCCTGTTGATAGGTTCACTCTTTTTGTCTAATAAATGATTCTTTTAAAAGCAATTTTTATGAGATTTTTAAAATATATAATCAAAATCATTGGCATCAATGTTGATTATTCCTGTAAACATGAATAAGTCCCCGAGCCGGTTTCCAACTTTGTGAGGATTAAATGAGAAAATGGGTTTGAAAGCACATCGAAAGCTGGACAGCACCATAGACACATAATTCTTGTATATTATGAAGATTTATTTACATGAATGTTTCGAATCATTGTACATGCATAATCTGGCCACACCACGTGGCAGAATGAGGTAAGTGCTTACTGTCATAAAGTATAAGACCCTTTAAGGGAATCTGAGTAGCTCTTTTTGAATTACATGTACAGGCTTAGTCAACTTCTCAAGGCCAGCCCCCTAGGCCCAGCTTTCCCGATATTCAGTTCAGTGTACTTTCCACTAAATCAGACATGTTATAATAACTGTTCAACAACAACAAAAAGGGTTCCACAACATTGCAATAAAGTGACTATCGCAATAAAGTGAGTCACACTTATTTTTTTTTGGTTTCCCAGTGCACAGAAAGGTTATGTTTACACTACATGGTAGTCTATTAAAGGTGCAATAGTATTACGTCTAAAATAACAATGTACATACCTTAATTAAAAAATACTTTGTTGCTAAAAAAAAAAAAAAACCAACAACAACAAAAGACTCACTAAGGATGAGGTAACACATTCAGTAAAAATAACTGAGGTTAGTGGCCACAGACTGGGAGGAACAGCAAGGTCTACAGGGATGGAGTCAGCAGGCACAAGAGCAGCCACAAAAACTGAGAAGGGGCCTCAAAGACTGATGATGCAACACGGGCAGTCAGCATAAGTTAGACCTTGATTCATTCTGGTCTATACTATGTGGGAAAGATGAAGAAAATGGAAAAAACAAAAATGAAATGAGTGCTGGCAAGATTCACAGGAAATGACTAAAAGGTTTAGAGCTGACAGGCTGTGCTGCAGGGTTGTAGGAACCGGAACCATTTAGCCAGGATGTGATCATTTACCCCACTGCTACCCCTTTGATGCTTATACAAAGGGTTCTGTAGTCAGTGATGTCATCCTTGTTCAACTCAGTACAGCCCCCGAGTCAAGAAACACTTACTTGGCGCTTACTGTAGGATGCGATGAGAAACAAAATATCAACCCTTCCCTTGGGAAAAATGTATAGCTACTGAGGTATGTGACAAATAAATAGGTAATTTAAATACAGTCTTCTGAATGCTATGATGAGGAAAAGAAGAGGATGCTATTATTAGATGATGGGGAGGATAAGGTACAAGAATCACACATACTCTTGAGGGAAAAGTGATGTCTAAATGGAGGCCTGAAGGAAGAGAGTTTTTGGCTAGGTGATGGGGATGGAGATGGGAAAGTGACACATTCCACCAAGGACAAGTGTTTACACAGCCCCAGGCATGAGATAATCCCTCTGTTTTGGGTGTGTGTTTAGGTATGTGTGCACAACTGGGCGTGCCTGTGTGTACATGTGGCTATGAGCTCTTCACATGGTATTGTGAGGAGTATGAACTGTCTCTTCAAAGTAATGAAAAGTCACTGGAAAACACCGAAGGAACTTGCCTCATAAATGAAAGAAGATATAAAGGAAGCCAAATAATTATATCAGAAATTGGTTAATAACTGGATAAGAGAGGAGACTGAAGGAAGAGGAAGGATCCAGGCCAGCTCCTCTGCCTTTGGTTGGAGCAACAAGGTAAAGCCATTCATGGAAAAGGAACACAGAGAGGAGCAGGTTTAAAAGGGAACACCCTGGGCTCTGTCTGAAACTGTTGCATTTGTGGGCCTATGGGCCTGTCTATGAAGACTGCAGGCTAAAATGATAGATACATATCTGGAGCTTACAGAGAGATCCCGTCTGTAGATTTTGGCCAGAGAGTTCTCAGCACACAGATGATATTTGTACTCATGGAAGCAGATGAAATAACTTAGGAGTACAGATTGAGACAAGAAGAGAGATTAGGGCAGAACTCAAGAAAAATGGTGAATTTAAGGAATGAAGAGAGGAAATCTATTAAAAAGGGTAGAAAGCTGTATACAGTGAAAGGAAGAAAACCCAGAGCGTATGGTGCTATAGAAGTCAAATGAAACAAAGAAGATAGTGTCAACATCTTTAAATGCTGCAAGGGCTCGAGAATGATAAGGACTGAAAAGTCTTCAGTGTATTAAACATCAAAGAGGTCACTAGTGATATTCAGAAGTGTGGTGTAAGTGGAGAGGTGGGGACAGAAACTGAATTACAGGGAGCTGAACTGTGGGTAGAGCAAAGACAATAATGCTTAGATGCGCGCGTGCGCGTGTGTGTCTGTGTGTGTGCGCGCGTGTGTAAGAGAGAGATCTAAAGTTGTAAAAGAGTTTGTAATTTTGATTTTTAATTTACATTTAATTAATTTTTTCAGTTAATGTAGGAGTTTTATTTTAAATCTAAAAATGCCTTTTCTATAAATTAAACTTTAAATTTTCTTATAATTGTAGATTCATGTGAAGTTGAAAGAAATAATGTAGAGATCTATGTATCCTTTATCCGGTTTCCCCCAACAATAACACCTTGTAAAACTATGGTACAATATTACAGCCAGAATATGACATTGATACAGTTTATCAATCTTATTCAGATTTCTCCACTTGCCTGTATATATGTGTAAGTGCATGCAGGTATGTGTGTATTTGATTTATGTAATGGCACTGCCTGTATAGATTAATGTATCTGCCACCATGGCGAAGATACAGAGCAGTTCCATCACCACAAGGATCCCTTCTAATGTCCTTTTATAACCATAGCTACTCCACACCCCCAATTCCTAATCCCTGACTTCTTGCCTCCCATCCCTAACTCCTGACAAACACTAATCTGTTCTCCATTTATACAGTGTTGTTTCAAGAATGTTATTTATGGAATCATACAGTATGCAGCCTTTTGCCTTTCCCACTCAGTATAATTCTTTTGAGAGTCACCCAAGGTGTTGCATGTAGCAACAACTCCTTCCTTTTATTGCTAAATCGTATCCCAGGGTAAGAATGTACCACAGTTTAACCACTCACCTGTTGAAAGACATCTGGGTTGCTTCCAGGCTGGGAATCTTACAAATATAGCTGCTATGAACAAATATTTGAGTAAACACAAGTCTTCATTTCCCTGGGATAAATGCCCAGGAGTGCCGCAGCTGGCTCACATGGTAGTTGCAGGATTCCTTTTAAAAGAAGAAATTCCCAACACTTTCTCTGGAATGGTTATTCCATCTTACATTCTCATCAGCAAAATATAATTGATGCAGTCTCTCCACATCCTCTTCTGCACTGACGTTTTTTCGTTTTTCGTTTATTTTTTTTGAGACGGAGTCTCACTCTGTGGCCCAGGCTGGAGTGCAGTGGCGTTATCTTGGCTCACTGCAACCTCTGCCTCCCGGGTTCAAACAATTCTTCTGCCTCAGCCTCCCAAGTAGTTGGGATTATAGGCACCTGCTGCCATGCCCAGGTAATTCTTTTGTATTTTTAGTAGAGACAGGGTTTCAGCATGTTGGCCACGCTGGTTTCGAACTCCTGACCCAAAGTGACCCACCCGGCCCAGCCTGCACTGATGTTTCATATCATTAGCCCTTTGAGAAAAGTAAGCCAAAACTGTAATGAGATAATTACTACACGCCT